CAGCAGTTTTTTTTTCTTACTACAGGACATTCTTTGAAAAGTTCTCAATTTTCAAAGACTATTTGCAGGTAGTAACTTATGTGAAAAAATGTACTTTTTTCAACTTTTGCATTGAAAACTTTTTTCTGCAGAAAATGGTAGTTTCTGCACATAAAATGTTGCCATGAGGACTTTTTCTGTGAAAAAATTACGTTTGTGTGTTTTGTAAAATAGCATTTTTTTGTGGAGGAAACTTTTTTCCTTTGGGTGCTTTGGATGCAATTTTCCTGCTTCTTGGCAAGGGGTTGGACTGGATGACCCATGAGATCTCTTCCAGCACAGTGATTCTATGATTTTCTGGGCATAGAAAATGTGAATTTGCAGACAATAAACTTCAGCATATTCTGAAAAAGAAAGCACATTTTCTGCACAGAAATATTTCTGCACAATTGTGAGTACATAATATTGAAATAATATATTTCAAGAACATTAAAGGGCTTGAGGTGATTTTTAAAACACTCATGATAAAAAATAGGGACACTCTGGGTTGAAAATTTCAGAGCGAATATTGACCTCAGTTTAAATCCTTCATGGTTTCTATACCTGATGTACTTATATCATGAACAGAGACTACCATAGGCAATTTGGCTTTATCCATGCATAGTTGAGCTTTCTTTGTGGATTTCAGAGGTTCAAATGCTATTTTTTTCCCCAGAGAGCTTTATTTTCTTTGTTCACAGCTCCCAGCTGAGAGTGCTGCATAAAAGGTTAGAGGAATCACTGAGGTTTTAGTTAAGTAGAACAATAAACTCAAAGCCTTGCTGAGGATAATTTGAAGAGTGATTGGATGCTACAGAAGGGCAGGACTTGAACACTTTTTGAAGCTGTGCAAAAGAAAAAAATCGTGATACATGTTGCTTGTCATGGCGTATTACCACAGGACTAAGAGTATGTTGAATTTTTCTCTTCTCCATTATACAAGTAGAGATGCATTTGCATGCCCTACATTTTTTTGCTCTTTGGTCCAGCTGTGAAGAAAGTTGAGGATGGTTTTAGTTGTGATAAATTAAATAGGAAATAGCTTGAGTGGTGTGTATTCTGTAGGCAGTGTAATGTGTCACTAATGTTCAGTGTGTCGAATTCATTTATGAAATAAGGGGAAGATATTGTGAGAATGATGCAGAATGCCTTTGAACATCAAATCAACCACCTAATTTATGAGGCCTGTGAAAATGGTCACACTAAAATAGAGAGACTCAAAATGGCAACAATAATTGCACATATAGACAGATTTATTGCAAAAAATAGCAAAATCTGTTTCCTCCATATCATAGGAACAATGCTATGGAAGACAAATAGTATATAAATCATAAAGATCTAACAGAACATAAAGTAATTACTCAGAAGAGCTAAGTGATCCAATATACAGAAGAATAAAATAGGTATCTGTTATTTACATTTTGTAGAATTAGCCCTGGTGAAGAGCTAATTATGGTTCAGCCAGTTGTATTTCCAGATGATCTTGCAATAAATCTACCTTTGAATGTCTGTGTTCTGTCCCTCATCTATGAAGCAATCAGATTCTGCACCCAATACATTAATTCTACCTAAATAAAAAAAAACTGAAGTAAAATGGCAAGGGACTGAAGAAACAGAATAATCAAACCTTGTGCATCTGACAATGTTCTAGCCACTAAGGACATTGTAGTAGATATCCAATACCTCCCAATGCAGTCTGATTTCCCTTGCCCCAGCAGCTTCCAAGTGGCCAGAGCTCCACTTGTTATCGGTGGGACATTCCTGGATGCATTCGTGGGCCCCAGGACTGAGGCCTGATTCAGAAAGAACTACAAAAAGGGGGAGCAAAAAGATTCACATTAGTGGTTGTGACATCTCCTCCCCTTGAGGGGTTGAGAAGTCCCCAACTATCCTGCACCTCTGCAGCAAGGCCCAGGAAGTGCCTCCCTCGGATTTACTTCCAGGGAAACTGGAGAGGGTTGCCTGCACAGCATTTACAGGCCTCACTGCAGCTCCCTCTCCTCAGTTTGTTCTCTCCTTCCTTGACAACCTGGAATGGAGGCAAGGGAGAAGTAAAAGAAACAGAAAGGAGGGGAGGAAGGAAGGAATGAATGGAGAAAGGCAGTCATGTGAGAAATCCAGGTGGGTGGGCCACAGTGGACCTGTGTGGGGTTTACCTGTTCCCATGGCTGCACTGGCAAGGTGGTCTGGTCCTTCCTTCTCCCCACCTGCGTCCCTCCCGCACACACTTAGGGACACCAACAGATCCCGTCACAGAAAAAGCAGCAGCTGGGGGGTGGCAAAAAGGGGGAAGAGAAAATTTTGGCCTACCTTGGGGTATGTGGCATGCCAGTACAATGTAGGCATGCCAATACAAACAGAGAAAGGGAAGATTGTGAGTGTTTCAGACTAATTTAGAGGAAGGAACCACCTTTGAGGAATTCCTTACATAAGAAACTATGGGGTCACTTGAAGGCACATACACACCAGGCAAGTAGTGGGGGGGGCCTTTGGGGGCTTCACCCCCCCCCCAAATTCTCATGGTGGTTCACGAAAAGGCCTTACTGGTGCATTATTTAAACTGTTATGTTTATTCATATCATGATCTGATCACCATATTCAATATATCCCATATGCATGGGAGTATTGGGGTAACGATACAAAAGGTTTGCTAGGGTAGACCCTCTTTCACTCAGACTCAGCCCCCCCCCCCCCCCCCCCCCCCCGGCCAAATCGACATCCTGGCTACGGGCCTGATACACACACATATTACCCAGAAAGTGAAGGGAAAATAGAGGGGAAAACTGAACAAGCACCAAATAGTCAAATGAGGGAGATGAGAGCAAGAAAAAAGTAGAGGTGCAGGTGAAAGGAAATAAGAGAGGGTAAAGAAGATAAAGCTCTAAAGTGGACTTGGAAGGATCAAGATGTGTCTAACACTTCTGAAGCTAGCTACTTCTACTAGTTTATACGGTTGTATTTATTTTTTTATTTTTTTATTTCCCGCAATCTGCCCCATTCTATCTCACCCCAAAGGGGACTCAAAGCGGCTTCCAGTTTGGCAGTTCAGTGCCACATAACATAAGCAAATAAATATGCAACACATTGCCAATAAAATCATAATTAAAACCATATACATCCATTTAAATAATTGATTAAAGTCAGAGCCTCTAATCTCATAGTTAATGTCCAAGCCAATTCATTTGTGTTACTTTGTGATTATATATTGCACTGTTACTCTGCTACTCCCCAAATGCTTGTTTCCATAACTAGGTTTTAATTTTCTTGCTGAAAACCAGGAAAGAAGAAGATTTTAATGAATTAGTTAGAAAATGGCTTAAATCATGGTAGGTTCATGCAGAACTCCAGCTAATTCAGTGAACGACCCCAACAGTACAAACCTATGCATGCCTTCTCTAAAGTAAGTTTTGTTGCATTGAGTGATGTTTGCTTCCAGTTGACAAGGCATAGGATTGCAGCTGTAAATATTATTCAGCATGTAATTCTTTGGGGAAAATTTCATGCCAATGCCCCTGATTATTAACATTTTTCCTGCTCAACCTATGGAACACTCTGTATTGAGTGCAAATGGCAACAACATTGCACTATAGTGCATAAGGTCTCCCTCCCTCGCTAGTGGCATTTTGCCTTGTGGAGACTGGTTGAGAAGCATCAGCCCATCATCCCAGCCTCCACTACCTATCAAGAGATCAGATAGGCACTCTAATTTTTAATTTATTTTCATTTGTATTGTCAAAGGCTTTCATGGCCGGAATCACTGGGTTTATTTATTTATTTACGACATTTATATGCTGCCCTTCTCACCCCGAAGGGGACTCAAGTGGCGTAGAAGTCATATGTACATACAATATATATATATATATATATATGGGTCGCTGTAGGTTTTTCAGGCTGTATGGCCATGTTTTAGAAGTATTATCTCCCGACATTTTGCCTACATCTATGGCGGGCATCCTCAGAGGTTTTGAGGTTATTTTCATTTGTTATGAATTCTGGAAGCAGAATCTTTAAGACTTCTAAGGATGGGAAATTGTTGTCAGTGGTGAGGCAAAGACCAAATGTGTTAAAGTGTGTGTGCACACATAACTCTGAAGGCTGAAAGGAAGCCTTGTGACCTTCAAGAGACACTAAAATATCACTGTTACATATTGACATATACTATAATGGCCCTCCATGCAGTTATGCTGGCTACATTACCTTGGAAGTGCCTACAGACAACGCCGTCTCTTCAGCTTAGAAATGGAGAGGAGCACCAACCCCCAGAGTCGGACATGACTGGACTTAATGTCAGGGGAAAACCTTTAACTTTACCGTATTTTAAATTTATACCAAGTGTCATGGTTATTTTATATATATTTGTGCATGTGTGCATGCACACATACATGCATACCAACACATGTACATACCACATATAGTTGAGTCCTGAAAGACAACAGGCTTCCCTGAAGATGTATTGCAGTGCTTCCCTGAAGATGTATTTCCCTACTTGTGTAAATGGATAAGAGTGACCATATTGATCTTAAGGAGGGGAAAGGTGCATGCTATAAGAAGGGGGGAAAAGGGTAAACATACAAATGATCTGGATATTGGAAAATAAGGCTTGGATAGCTTGATGAGGAAGAGGGAATACCACTGGTGGAGAGGAATCCGTGTTTTTCTATAACATTTTAAACCACTGGTGGAACACAGACAATAGATCTCATATTTCTGAACTGAAAAATGAAGGTGAAATTCTTTGCAATCTTGTTGGATACTACTCTCCATAGTTTGGGGGGGGGGGGGGGGGGCTGCTCTGCTTGTTGATTTCTGGCTGCTTTGTTGTATTAAATGTTTGGGAACTCACAAGTAACCACAGATTCTATCTATTTGCCTGAATTATCATAAGACGCCCATGACTGTACTTCATGGATATCGAACCATAAACAGAATTCTTCAACATATAATTAATCCATGTGCATCTTTTGTTGTTTCTTTCTATATAGATTTTAGCTACATCCAGTACCAAGGGGATTCTTACATGGAATTTCAGGGTTTTGCCTTACATCCACACAACAATATCAGTTTAGAATTCCAGACTACTGGTTTCCAAGGAGTCCTTCTACATATTGAACAGAATCCAACAACAATGGGACATTTCTTTATTCAGCTTTCTGTCATGCATGGTATCTTGCAGGTAATATTTCTCATTGTTCTCTTATAATTGAGTCAGGGTATTTTCTTTATCTTTTCAAAAATTTCCCTCTTGCTTTCTGATACTAGCATATTTTATCAAGGGTTTAAAAACTTCCAGGCTTGTTTTGTTTAAATAATACCACAGCTTGAATAGGCTCTTTTCAGAATTCTGCTACAAGTGGAAATCATGACACTTAGGAGCAATATTTATGGATGATAGAATAGGGATGCTATGTAAAGATGATAACAGTAGTCTCTCTTGGATAATGCACAAAAACAGAACTCAACAGAAAAATGTGAGCCTGCTTCACGGATGGCGGTTCATGAGCTCAGAGCTGCAAACAAAATACTTCTAATGCACTGAACCATGGAGCAGAAATATTAGGTGAATCAGAGAGATATTAAAGTTCCCAATTATTATCAGAGGGTTTGATAAAGGGACATCCACATGGGTCTAGCAACTTTTTATTGCTTTTGAAATTTTCATTGTGCAAGGAAAAATAATAGGAAGATGTATTCATTATTCTTCCCTTGCTCTTCATACTTTTTAACCTTGCTTTAGAAATTGAAAACTGATGTGAAAATATATGTGTGTTCTTTCACACAAAAATGAATAACAGAATGTTGCCAATTCCAATTATTTTGGGGCACAGAATACAGTTTGCCTAAGCTGGTAACAGTTCTCATAAATCCATACAGGAAACTGCTTTATACAAGGTTAGGCTATTGATCCATCTGACCTAGCATGATTTAATGCATTGATTTAATACTGTATATTATAGACAGAATCCTGTTGGGCAGTTATGAATGCATAATTCGGGGTTCATCTAGAAGTGTAGAATTAATGACCTTTGACACTACTTTTAACTATCATGGCTCAATGTTATCTCATCAGAAGAGTTGAAGTTTTATCTTTAGTTGTTTATGCCTGGCATTGTTGCCTCCATAGTATTGAGTCATGGCAGTTCAAATCTTGTCAAACTGCATTAATTCTACCATGCAAATGCACCTCTAAAGTTATAGATACATTACTGTTTCATATTCATTATCCTTATATTTTCTCAAGTTCAGGGGATACGTATGGACCATGAAACACTGCCTAGTTCCCCTACTACTAGGTCAGAGCTGGTTGATGGTTCTATCTCAATCCTGTGATTTCCAGCTTGAGAGGGGACTGCAGCAGGGGGGTGCATCTTTACAGTAGAATTAATACAGTTCAATGTCACTTTAATTACCATAGCTGAATACTGTGACATCCTGGGTTTTGTGGTTTGACAAGGCTTTTAACTTTCTCCGACAAAAAGTGCTGGTGCCTCAGACAACCATGACTCCTAGAATTTCATAGCACTAGTCCCATCTACACAGGCCCAAAAATCCAGAAGAAAGTGGAATAAGGGTGTGTGTGTCCTGAAAATGTATACTCCCAATGAGTACTGCAGCATGTGTTTAGACCAAAAGAGCACATTTAAAAAACTCAGTGGAAATTTCAAAATCAGCAATAAAATGTGCTGCAGTTGACTAGTGTATGGCCACTGCAGAGCAGGAAGTTGGGAGCAACCTGCAGAGCATTCATGTAAAAAGTGCCCCCACTGGAATATGCAGATACAGGAACTGGATATGGTGTTCTCAGAAAGGTAAACAAACACTTTTCCATCAAGAGGGGGGCACTTTCCCTTTTTTGTTATCTCCGTGCTGTGATTCCCATCACTCATACTCATCCAATGAAGTATTTCAGTTCAGTGCATTGCTCCCAATGGGGTAAGCACAAAAAAAAGTTGTGTCAATTTGGCCCAAGGGGAACTTTGTGGATGTCATGGGAGCTTCTTCATAGTTATCAGGGTGCCTGTGGGGACTCTAATGAGCAGAATGGAATCTCTTCAATCTACAGTCTGATCTAGATTATGACAGTATAGAAGCAGCCATTGGACCATGGCAGTTCAAGTGGTGTCAAAACTGTATTAATTCTACATCCAGGGACTCTAATTTTGATTGTCACACTGGAAACTGCTCCTGGAAGGAGGTAGGAATATCATTTAGCTGCTTCTATTGTAATTCCCAAATAGAATTTCAGCCAAAAACTATTAGACTCCCCACCATGAAATAATGAGACCAGACAAAAAGGTAAGGAGAAATAAAACAACATTTATTGACCTATTTAAACTGGAACCATAACTAAGAAACGTTTTGTATGAGGAGCATTGTGACATGGGCAATGACATGAGGCCAGTTATCATTCTTTGACTACCTGCCAAGCTAACCTCTGGGTGAAGCACTTGGTCCCGGGGGCATTCCGTGGTGATGGTTTGCCCTTCCTGGCCAACCATTACTGGAAGGCCATTCCAGGGGATCCTTCCTTCTGGGTCCCAGAAATCAAAAGGAGAGAGGTAACACATACACACACCGGTAATCCCCAAGGGGATCTTTTAGGAAAAATCCTAATCCCCAGAACCAATAGAGGCTGTCCCAAACATTCTCCTTCATCTCAAAAAGGGGAGGGGTACTAAGGAATCATGTTCTTCCCCCACTTTCTGCCATAATTATGGCAACTCTAATTTGTCAAAATTCTTTATTTTCAGCAGCTACAATATGGGGTAGGTAAGACCCCACCTTATGAGAAGGGAAAAAGTTCCTACCCGGCCCATATTCAACCAGTATTAACTCATATTGCACCGAGGGCAGGAGGGTGAGTTGTGCTGCCAATGACCAAAGGTAGTTGGGAGGGGCCAATGCCTTATATGGCATTCTCTATGCACCTCCCAACTGCAGAGACTGGCAGAAACACCAGTCTTGTGAGGCCCATTACTCTCTTTTACAGGGGACCTCAAGTATTCCCCTTTGATAAAGACAGCAGGCCTTCTGGCCTAAGATGAGTGTTCCATACTAATTCCATCTTTGAAAGTTTTCCAAGAAACTTTGACAGCAGTTACTTTAAAGGAACCAATGACAAAATTTTAAAGTGCCAGGATCACACAATTATTTTTCTTTTTGAAAGATTCTGGTGCACTAAAATTCTACAAAAATAGAAAAGAGAAAAACAGTTGTCATTATTCAACAATTTTGGTGACTGATAACAAAAGATAATAGGGCTCTGGTGAGCAACATTCTTCTTCAAACCTGAATATTAACTGACATTTTTTTCAAAAATCCAACATTGCCATCATTTGGTGAATGATGTAGACAAGGCAGGTGCCTTTCCTCTTTTTACTTTACATTTCTAGCCTGTCTTTTCATTATGAAAAGCATTCATTGCAGCTAACAATCACTGCAAATGGATTAAAACAGGTTAAAAATGGGTTTGACAATAACACTGTTAAAATCATTACATGAACCAAGCAACAAAAATCAAAAATAATCAGTAGAGCAATTTAAAAGGCCCATTTGAAGAGAAGCATCTTCACCATCTTGTTACAAAGAGTGAAAGTAGAAACTGATTGTAGTTTTGAGCACAGCACATTACACAATTTAGGAGAACCACTAGTGAAAGTAATGGCAGCTGGTGACTTTCATGTCAGTGAAATGGCAAATCCATCCCAGATTTTAAATTAAATTTTAAGGGAGCTATTCAAAAGGCACATTTTATACCCCCAAAATGACTGAGTAGATTCACTGCCTTTCTGGTGAGAAAATCCTTTGCTTCCTGCCCATTAATTGGTCCTCTATAGTGGATGGCATTTTCAAGAGAGACTTTTCAAAGGGACTGGTGATGGTGATGGTGATGGTGATGGTGATGGTGATGAAGAACAAATAATTATGAAATTATAAGCAGTGTTGAAAATATTGTTCTGAGATGTTCATCATTACTTTTTAACCTACCTCTCTCTCACACACACACATTCTCATTATTATTTCCAACCAGTGTTTTGTGGAGGGACATAGAAGAAACAGCTTATCCAATTAGTATCAACTGAGTAGAGAACAAAATTAATACTCCAAACCTCATGACTAAATTTTTGCATGTTTCACTGACAACTTTATGATGAATGTCATTTTCATACACATTACATACAAAACCATAGAAGCTGATGGGGGGAAGTGGTTTAAGGGTTGGACTAGAGTTCTGGAAATCAGGGTTCAATTCTCACTCAGAAATGGAAACCCATTGGGTGACCTTGAGCAAGTCCCACTCTCTGAACCTCACAGGAAGGCCATGGCAAGTCCCTGTAAACAAATCTAGCCAAGAAACCCTATAATAGAGTTGCTGTAAATTGGAAATGAATTGAGTTTACACTACAACAAGGGGAATATAATCCCTTGTGACTGAGTATTCTTTTTAATCCCTGAACCTTCAAGAAATTGTATGTTATTTATCTGGCCCTATGCACATTAAATTTGTCATTTTAGTACAAGTGACTTAATCATACAAAGGCTAATCCTTTTTAAAAATTTCATCTAAAGGATGTCCGTGACTTCAGGTTAAATCTGGTTCTCCCAGCCACACACACACACACACACATACTTAAAGTTATAGTTAGTTCTCTTTCAAATTAAAAAAAATATGAAAGATCATTTGCAGTTTCTTACACTATTAAAGAGCAATTATAGCTGAGGTCTTCCAGAATACCTATGAGCTGTCATAGCCAGAGCTGCTCCCTCTGTCTGACTATTTCCTACAACACACAAGAGTCATAGTATCCTGTCACCTCTCCAATCATTGACCAGCTGTGGAGATATACCCAGACTCACTCTGGCTTCACTGCTTTCTGTACTCAAGAGTAAGCAGAACAAGTCAGGAGTTTTTCAGTTGTTGGGGAGATGGAGACGCATCCGTTTGCTGTTGTGAACTGGAGTTGGAGGTGTTGCAGAAGGAGATATTGGATGCCCCCTTTCACAAAACCTGAAAAAATACATACGGTATATCTCCAGCTACACTTACTGATATCACCAATAGGATTTAGGTCCATGCAATTATGCCAACACATGCTTAATATTTTCTGATTCCCCGTTACAGTCAATGTGGATGCATCTAGCTTCATGTTTTTTTTTTTTTTGTTTTTTGAAGTGAGACATTGATTCGGACTCAAAGCAAAGCAAACATTTTCTGGAACAGTCCAAGTCAAATCTGTATGTAAAATCTGTACCTCCAAATGGAAAGGAATACAAGGCACTGTTTTTCACAGTATAATATGTAAATAAGCTATAAGCCATACAAGTATGTCAAGCGTGATTTATCAAGTGAGCTAACTTCCAGTGCTATTGATGCCAACGGTAATAACGATTAGATGGATCCTCTGAAAATTAATCCGAATTACTCATGCCTAATCATATTGAAGCTCAGAAAAACTATTCATGGAATTATTGAAGAAGTACTTAGAAAAAGGTATTAGACATAAATCTGACTGTAAGATTTGCATTTATGATCCCAGATACTAGTGCATGATCAAGAGTACCTTTCATATGTCTATGAAAGGTAAACTTCACTGTGCTCCTGAGTATTTACTGCTACAGGCACTGAATGATTATGGTTGCAGAGATGGGCATGAGCAAGTCCTACATGAATTTGGGTTACAGACCCTGTTCAAGGACATTTCACTGCTTCCACCTATGGGATTGGGAGGCACATGACTTCAAAACATCTCTGAAATGGCAAAAAACACTCCAGAACAAAAACTTGATGGCAAAGAGAAAAATAAGAGTAAGCTCCCATTGTATTCAGCAGAGACCATTGGTTTGGATGTTAGAGAATGCTTTCTGGATTTTAACCTAGACTTTAGAGGAGTTATCCTGGGCTCTGAATGCTATTCCCCCATAAATCCAGCATCTTGGATAAATCCTTTAAAATTCACACTAAAACCAATGGTAGGTTCATCGTTTAGGCCTGTAGTCCACATGTCACTAAATCTTATTAAGTTCTTCTTTTTCATTCTTGCTGTTCTGCCTTACTGTGAATTATCTTTTTGCTCTTCCTTGATTCAGTATGAGTTTTCATGTGATGAGTGGGAAGAAATTAGAAACATCAATACTAATGTGAGAGTGGATGATGGACAGAAATACAGAGTGTACATTAGGTAAGTAATGTATGTGTTTTCATTAATATGTCCAAATCTACTTCTAGGTGTAACAGACAAATGAATCCTCTCAACCTACAAATAAGTCTTGCCCCACCCCACCCCCTTTCAAGGTCACGACTAAAGGTGAACACGTAGCAGTAATAAAATCAATTGGAATTTTTTAATGAATTTTGTGAAACAGAGCTCTATGTGATACCAATTATCATACGGACAATGTCATATTCATTAATATATAACTGTGTTTTTATGTATGTAATTTATTGCATTTTATGCTCTTTTGGTTGTTTTTTTTTTCAATTTGTTATACACTGACCTGAGCAATCAGAAGAGGCAGGTAAATAATAATAATAATAATAATAGTAGTAGTAGTAGTAGTAGTAGTAGACCTGTGTCTAACTCAAAGGACTTACAGTAAGGAATAGATTTGTGTAAGAAATAAGAAGTGCTTATGCAATGCCAAACATTTGGAGACAAAAGAAAAGGTCCTTTTTAGAAATAATTGCACTTCTTCCAGCAAAACTCCAGGGATTTCTGTACTGGCTCCAACAACCTGAGATCAGTAATGGGAGCTGTAATGAGACCCATGGCAAATCATGGAAGCTCTCTCTCAGTTATGAGCTATGCATTGCTTACTGCTATTGTAGAAATACAATAACCATCAGCAAAAAATGACAAGTACAAAATGAGCATACAGATGATTTCCAAGAGCTTTATATTCCCGCCAAGGGTTTTAGCTTAAACCATGGCTTAAAACCAGGTATTCATAGTGTTGGCAATGCTTAGGATTTGTAGTGGTGCAGCTGCAAAGCAAAGCCATCATTAAAGCTTCAACTCAGATTTTCACTTTGGAAGTTGAAGATCCAGGATTATTCTCTAGCAAGGGAGGAGAGAAAAAATGTGCTGCAAATTTGATAATATAGTGGGTATCTTTTTTTGATGGTGCGTCAATGCTTCTCTTCAAGTAAACTAATGGTATGTTAGCATGCATTGCAGTGAAGCAGGACACTTAAAACATACAATAAGTAAGTTAATTGAGCAATAAGATATGGTAAGGACATTTTATTAATTTTAAGTGCCTTAATACTGAAACCTTAGGTCAAATGCTTTTCTCCACCACTGCTTGTCATTAGTGGACCTTATCACACAAAATGAACTATCTTATTGGAATTATAAAATGTTAATTTTGAGAGAAAATATTGAAGGAAGATAGAACTAACAGCTTTCAGATGTAGGCATAAATTCAATAAACCTCTGAATGAGATACAAATAAACCCAACTAATTTGAAAAAGCTGATGGTGATACTAAAGGGTTGCCATCAAAAGAACAAATGATCCCTGTAAAGAATCTAAAAATATTTTAAGTGTATGGTACTCCTCATCACATTCTCTGAAAATAGCCATGCTTGGTGTTGGATTCTGGGAGATGTGGTCTCAAAAAATACATAAGATTAAATGCAATGGAAAACCTGTGTGGATGAGCCACAATAAATCATACACTCATGGTCTTTCCCTTCCCTTTTCTTGTGGGCCAAAACAAAGGCCTGGAAAGCTTTATTTTTGATTTTAAGTAAACTGCTGATCCTCATGGCAACCAAACCTGGGGAATTATGATATCCTTAAATCATTGTTGTCAAGCATAAGCAATGAGAGCAATTCTGTATTCAATTCCTGGCTCATTCTAAAACCATAATTCAAACAAACCATTGTGTTCAGATATCAGAAGGGCCTTTAATAATGTCAGAAAATAGCATGTTTAGTAGTTCGATAACACATTTGAAAATAACTTGTGAGAAACAATTGTTTCTTCTTATGACTGAACTGGACTGCTATGTTCCCATTCACCAAATGGTTTATAGTATATATTTAATGCTCAAACAGAACTTGGAAAAATTCCTTCTTTTTTTTGGATTATATCCTGTTGATGCTACATGAACTGTTTCAAGAAGCACACAATAGTGGAAAGAGTAGGCAGACAAGGAATACACACATGGAAGTGTGGCTTACATGTATGCACATCTCTTTTTTGATGGAGAACATGGTACTATTTTGTAGGTTTGTAGCTATCAAATCTTGGGAGTGACTGCAGAATATACTACTTATTGGGGGGGGGGGGGAATCAAGGAGGCAATTCAACCTATAAAGGGAAATCATGAGAGGTTCTGACCACCTCATTACATTGAGAGAAGAAAGCATGGGTGATTGTCCCTTTAATAGTAGAAAATTGCCCCTCTTATATCATCAGCAGTCCCCTTTCAGGTTCTGCCTCCCCATTAGACTCACACATGGAAACTTAAGAGCTGGCAATACATTCATCACAAGATCAGTATTACTTTACTTTTTAATTAGAAGAAACAACAATATCAGAAAACCAAGTGATCCCTTGCCCTGCCCAAAGCTCCTTACATCAAAGGAGACTGACACTAATTTAAAATCACTTCTTTCCATGGGATTCTATGGTTCTGCCCCAAACCCCATAGGATACAATAGACAAAGACTTAGGTTAAAACAATTTCTTTCCATGGGATAAAACCATTCTGCATCAGACCCCATAGGATACAAAAGACAGTGATCCAGGTTTAGAACATTTCTTTTCGTGAGATCCTATGGTTCTGCATCAAAGCCCATAGGATACAAGAGACAGTAATAAGATTAAAAACACTTCTTTCCATGGGATCCTATTGTTCTGCATCAAACACCATAGGATACAAGAGACTGCTGATGGTTGGGCAATGAAACAAGATGGAAAATTTTTGATGGTTCCCATCCCACCTGTTTTTTAGTTGTAAACATGGTGTAATAAGAAGTAGGAGCACTGGACACAATGGCTGGCCCTTTTGGAAAATTTCAGACTCTTTTCAACCCTGGAACATGTGATGAGCTTCATGCCTCTCCATGCTTTAAAAGAGGCTGAAGTGCCTTACGACTGGGGAATATCTCATTGTGATAAGGTGGTAAGTCAAAAACTCAAGTGACTTCTACCTTTGGCTTAATCTACCTGTGTTTGAAAGTTTAAATCCATGAAATCCATACTAAAATAACCCAGTCTCAAAGTGCTACCAGATTATTTCCATCCCCACCTCTTTTTCTTCCATCTCCATTTTCTAAATGATCTGAGTAATGCTTTCACTGAAGACCACTTAATTATATTATCCTTACATTATAGTTGACTATCATAAGAACTGGTGAGAAAATGCATTGTGGCACAGGTGAGATCTTAGCCAAAGATATGAGTGCCTTGCACACTATACTGCACCAGCTCTTATGACAGCCGTGTAATGAAATAAATTGATACATAAGTAGATAGATGACTCTAATTAATTTGTAGACCCTCTGCAATTAAGCAGTGGTTTAAATATGTTGGGATAGATGGTGAATGAATGAAAGCTGATATATTCTGAGTGTGCATCAAGATCAAACGGGAGCAATCAAGGGTGATGGTTAACTAGTCTTCAAAAAACTGCTTAGAACAGCTGGTTCTTTTAGCTTTAGTACGAGATGAAAACTTCTGCTTATAAGATATTGCTTTTACAGCACATTATTCAATTTGATGTGGCATTATCACGTGCAAGAATTAAGCTGCAGTATTATCTAGGCATTAAATATGGCACTCCCAAGAAGAAATTGCTCCAAAAAGGCCATGATTAACTAAGCCACTTTATTCCTTACATGTCTATTTCTATATTTTCAATTGACTTCATTAACCTGCTGAGTATATCTAGTGAGTATTTTTATATAAGGGTTTTTTTTAAAAAAAATAATTTAGTGGCAGATGGACTAATAATCTCACTTCCTGGGGTTAATATCAAACATTAGGAAATGTCATAAAAGCTTGATCCGCTGAGTATAGTTTTATTTTTGGAGGATAGAGTAAATATATACAATAAAGGAATAGTTTATATATATATGGCTCCAGGAAATATCCGGAAGCAACTGTTTTACAAGGTCAACAACACAATGGTAATTGTGAATTAAGGGATACTAAAGACAAATGAGTATACAAATCAATTTGGGATTCCATTTAAATCCCCTTGTCATGTCATGGGAATTATCAAATGAAGGTTTTAGTCACAAAACCCAATGTTCCTAGGCATATTAACCACCACTACTGCAATGATACATAATATATCAGGATGGCCTATGGTTGCAACAACAAAGAGAAAGCAAAATTACTGTACTTTCTATACTATAGTAATGTGAACAAGGAGATTTCTGCTGTAGCTTACCAAACCATCCTAGGAATAGTCAGGTCAACAGACAACATATGCTCTCTTTATGCTTGCCTTTTGTCCCATGAGAGCTGTTTTCCTGTCATGTCTTCATACACTAAGTGCTAGCACTCAGCATGGGCTATTGTGTGATCACTTTCTAAATTACTATCCTAAAGCTAGGAGCAGCTGAGAAATGGTAAGGGGTGGCAATAAGAAGGCTCCACAACAAAGAGTTTATTGTTAAAGATTATGTTACTCGTTGCTTCTCATTCTTCAGATTCTTTGTGAAAACATATGAGTAGGTAGAGGATGTATTTACTTAAAAGTATGACTTGTTCTTCAGTGCTAATCATCATCCTACAAAAGATTAAACAATACAATGTGTTTGTTCATTGGATATACTGTGCTCTCTCCACCAAAGAATGGAACTGATAACAGTTTCCAAAAAATAGCTTTTTTAAAGATGCAGATTCAATAGTGAAAAAGCTTAACACACACCCTTCTCATTAGAAGCCCCTTCTTCACCAACTAACCCCTTGCTAAAAGTTCCTTGGACTTGGCCTGACTGTGGGAGAACAACAGGAAGGGGACTTGCCTAAGGACTCCATTGCTTGGGGCATTCTCCAATAATATTCCCTTGTGCCCTCACCAGTTATACATCTGATGATGGACTGCTTGACAGTGTTGTAGGAAGAAGATAGTCCTTCAGATAAGTTGGAACAACATCATGTATCATTTTAGAGACTATGATCTGCATTCTGGATCATGTCCAGAAGGAGACTGATGGAC